TCAAAGTGAGGGAGTGGTTGCTTTATCCCAATATAATGGGTTTCATGAAGTTGAGGGGGGGGGGTAGTGAGGGTAGTAGAGTGCACAGTAATGTGATCAACATGATCATAGCAAAAAGAACAGCTGGAGTTTGTTGATAACAAGGAGAAGTCTACTCTGGTGGTCTTCATTTTGAATCAGTAAGGTCTCGCAGCTACAGCTGTAGGTAACTCAGGTCAGATATTACACCACTCATGGTCTTAGGCTTACAAATGAATTAGAGCATTGTTTTAATCAGTAAAATGTGGCAGGTTTGTTTGGTTTGGTGCTCAACATCAGATCAGCAGAGAATGACTTATTTTCAGACATTAGATTGGTATTTTGGCAAACCTGATGATCTTCTCAAATACTGAACTTTAGTACCCTTTAAGCTTTAACATCAGAATCCATATTCTCCATACCCTTCTTTATACATTTGCTTTGGTACTGACAAGGAGAATTCATTTTAACATTTAAAACTTCTTAGTTTGGCAATCATTTCCTTTTTTTTTCACAAATCTCATTAAGTTAGTTTTGAGAGTTTGGTATTGAATCAACTAATATTCCTCTACATGTAACTGATACTTTTCTCTATTCTCATTGCTTTTCTGCTTGATATTGTATTGATACTGTAAGGAGAAATTCTGTCTTGGTCACTTATGGGAGTTAAAGGTTTAATTAGAGGAGGCTTAGAACTTGGGTGGCAAGGCATTGTAAGTGGAAAGCTATCTCCACAGGTCATTTTAACTGATCACCTGAATTGTATTTCACCTGATACTTTTAGTCACGGAGTGTTTAAAATGAAATTATTTTAAATTTGTGTTAAGGTTGGACATGAACCTATTTCTCCAACTGAGTTCACAACATTTTACCAGTATGGTAAGGAATTTAAGAAGATTATTATTCATTATTTCTTCACACTAATTCATTAAAAGACATATTAAAAAAATACAGCACAGTATTACCAGTACATAAAAAACTACTTAAATGTAAGCTTTGAGGAGATTGATACATGGCTTGCCTTGTGTTTACAATTAAAGGAATCAAATAGAGTAATTATCAATCAGATGTTGGAAGCAAACTGGGATTGTCTTTTTTTTTACTTTCCTGGTGGTTGGTCTGAAAAACCCCTGCCACCCTCTCAACAAATCAGATGCAAAACTGGAATTTAAATTTCAACTTTCTCGCATGTATTTTCCCACACTTCCAGCTGTGCTTTTTTCACTTCAAGTTCTGATTTGGCTCCATGTGATTCTTATTTTAATTTCTGATAAGCCATTTTCTGATCACTTATTGTATTTGGTTATGTGGCTACAGTGAAAAAGCATTATAACTAAATTCAGATTAGTTTTCTGGCAAATGACTTACATTTGTCCTTTGCATTGTCTTGAAAACAATCATGATGGACAGTTTCTGTAATATGGATTTATACTTTTTTGATCAGCATGTGAAGATGACAACACAATTTCTAGTTGATAAAATGTATTTATACAGAGTGCAAAGGCACTCTAGAGCTATTATTGAAAAAAAAATAAACACCAAGATACTCATGGTAATCAAGAAAAGTAACCTATTTGTTCAGGTTTCTTTGTTTTTTTACCTCCTTATCCTGCAGCATGTCATGTAAAGAAGATAAATGGATGGCATGGACTCTACAGAGGATTGTTGCCAAGGTAAACTATATATGCTTTGGTTTCCAGAGGTTGTAACTTTTTTTGTCTTGGTGAGAAACCTTGTTGATTAATCAGCAAGAGATCAGAAATAAAAATGTTACAGGTTAAATACTGTAATGACAGGAGGCCTCAGTCCTTGTTACTAAGCAAAAACATCAAGTCATTTTAACTTGTTTGTATGGGATTAGTTTCTAGTAATTTAGACACCTAGTGTTTTAAAGTGATTCTTCAGGCACTGCACATCCCATCCTGTTTAATAAAGTCATGTCATCAGGGGAATTCCAAGATCATGATATTGTTTTTCAATAAATGGACCAGGTAAAGAGGCTCTCTTGTCTTTAGCTCTTAAACTAGTATGGTGACTTATATTTTTTGTAGCAGAATTTTGGTGAATAAATTATCCCCTTTTAATTAGAGAAATTAAAAAAGAAATCATTGAAGGGAAAAAAAGATGGTTAAAACCATACAAAAGACCCATTACTCAATGATGAAAGTTATGACCTTTAAAGCAATCACTCAAGGAACGTTTTTTCATCTAAAATTGCGTGATTTTTCCACAAATTATGTATCAAATTGTCTTATATTATGCATCAAATTGTTTCTACCTATCAAGTTTTTTTCAAGCTTTACTTTAAAACCCTTGCCTCCAACTACCTCAAAATGTATTTTGAACCAATGAAATGATGCATAATTATGATTAGTGCCTGTACAGGCATTTGTGGAGTATAAATTTGGCTCATCATATCTCTTACACAAGCACTGAGTGATCTTTCTTTTGAATTGTTTTTTTTTTCCAAACAAACATTGGTAGGAAGAATTTAAGGAAAGTTTAAAAGAGATTTTTTGATGAGTTTCTTTTTCTAAGGAATCACATTTATTAATTAATTAGTTAGTGCGCTGGGCTCTGGTTGTAGAAGTCCACATTCAAAACCTGGCTGGGTCATTGTGTTGTGATCCTGGGCAAAACAATTCACTCTCACAGTACCTTTCTTTACCCAGGAGTATAAATAGTTGGTGGTTAATTGTCAGGAAAGCCTGATGAAATACAGGGGGTAACCTTGAGATGGACTTAAGCATCCCATTCAGGGGGAAGTAGTAATATTTCTTTTGGCTTCATGCTATGGAAACCAGGATAAGCTGCACCTGGATGGGCCTTATGGCTCTAGTAAAAAAAATCTATAATGTGTAATTTCTGCCAAAAAAAGTGGGTTAAAAGTAAATAGGTTGATTTGAATGTTGATATTCTATAATAAAAGTGCTCTCACTTAATGTCTCCACATAAAAGGACCTTTAAGTTTGCTCATCAGTAGAGAAATATTTTGTGGGATTTATTTTTGTGTGTTGAAGTATCTGCTCTCTTCTTGGCTTAATTTTATGAGGTGTAAGTCCTTCTAATCTCCAAGGTAATTTTCATCATTTTTGGGAAACTTTATTTCTGGTATTACATTAATTGTTCCACTATAACTGTTGTTAGGGTCTACTCATCATTGATTGGAACTCTTGTAAACAATACAATGCTACAGGTATTACTATGGATTCACTTAAACTATAATTAGTTTACCACATTCCTTCTGTAGTTTGATTTTTCCAAAGTATATAATGTGAATTTCTTACCTTACATCATGCAATTGTGATATAGTCTTATGTGAATTGTGTATTGAATAGGTTATGGATAAAAAAGACAATGCCCTTGTCCCCCTGATTCCTCCAGAAAATAAGGTGGGGTTGCTCTTTTTTATTTTAATATGTTATAATTTATCTTAATTAGAATGATCTGAATGGTACAGCTCTGTATGTTAATTTGTTTTTCTCTGTTTCTTCTTGAAATTTTCAGAGCAGGCAAGAAGAATTGCTAGAGTTTTTTGAAGAGGTATTTTAACAAATTTTGCTCTTACTCCTTGTTAAAATGGGGGCGCCGGAATCTGACTTTTTAGAATATATATTATTTAGCACAATGGTTTGTACACCAAACTCTGGACTGAGGGGCATGGGTATGGGTATGGGTTTGAACTTTGAATAACTCTTTACACCCTAACATCTGTATGCATAATCTCCATACTGTTCTTTGTACATTTGCTAGAGTGCTGAATGGGAGAATTTGTTTAATAATCAATAGCTTCTTTAGTTGGTTATCATTTCCTTCATTCTTGTGACCTTGATATTTGATTCAGGGTGATATTGTAAGGAGAAATTAGATGCTAGTCACCCTTATGGGTCAACTGGTCAAGGAGGTGTCTGTCAGACTCTGACACACTTTACTTCCTCTAGTCAATGCATGCATTTATCAGACAGGAATGTAAATGGTTACCTGTAAACTGTCAGGAAAATGTGATGAAATGCAGGGTGGGGGTTTATTGTGCAATGGATCAGGATCATATCCATAGGTTAAGTAGCCATACTCCTAGTGGATTTATGTGTTGAAAGAAAGGATAAGTACTGAAGGCCTGGTCTGGGTCACTTACCTCAGTGTTGATGTTAAGACTAACAAATTTTTTTTTTCTATTAAGACCTGTGTACAGGCTGTGGCAAAATGCAGTGGTATCATTATCAGTCACCCATTTTATGGTAAAGTAACAAAACTGAATCTTAGATCATAATGGCTAGAATTTCAATTGAGGGTGAGACATCTAAGGCTATTAATTTCTAGGTAACAAAATTAAAGTAGATAAGTAGTCTATAATTTCTGTAATTTGTATTTTTATTTATTTATTTATTTATTTATATATGTTTTTAGCAAATATTGATTGACCAATGACACTTCTCTAATTTAATTTCAAGTGCTCTCAGTCAGAATGATGGTTCAGTTTGTTGGTCAAGAAACTATTTACAGGTCAGTTCTTTTTCCACATTCTGCTACATTAATTTTCATCTCCATTTGACAATTTTTAAATTTTAAGAGTATTTTTTTCCTTGAATTGGCAGATTTTCTCAAAATTTACTCACTTTTCAAATTCAACTTACTATTTGGAGATGTAACGGCACCTTTTTTATTGTTTTAACCTTTAACTCCCAACATTTGATTATTAAATCTCCCCTCCAGCTGCAACACATATCATTGGGAATTAGTTATGAGACTAATTTGGTGTTAGATTAAAATAACGACTTCTGCCTGATAAGTTTCAATATTCTCATTACATGTTTGCTGGATAATGTATGGAATTATAAAGAGAAGTTACGTGTTTGTTACTTCTGGGAGTTAAAGAGTTAAGATATCCTACATGCAAGGATGATAAGTTGGATGTTCTTTTCATTACTTGAATGTGCCAACCATGGACAAGACTTGTACATGTACATGTTAAATATCTTTAT